GCGCCGGGCCGGTGTCGTAGGGTGAAATCAAACTCCGCTAGCTCCGTGATCCATCGTGCTTGCCGTCGGTTGAGTTTCTGCGGTTTCCGGAAGTACTCGAGATTCTGATGATCGGTGAAGATTTCAAACGTTTCCGTGGCTCCCAGCAGTAATTGCCTCCATTCGTCTAACGATAGCATGATGGCGAGCATTTCCTTGTCGTAGATCTCATAATTTCGCTCGGTTTCGGTCAATGCGTGCGAAATAAATGCGATTGGGCGCCAAATGCCGTCTTGGTTTTGGCTCAAAACTGCTCCTGTTGCCCCTTCCGAAGCATCGGCTTCCAGACAATATTGGCCAGTGTCATTTGGCAGTGCTAGGACCGCATCCTCCGTGATTCTCTTCTTCAATCCATTGAATGCCGCATGTTCCTCTGTACCCCATGACCATCCTGCCTTCCCCGTCAGCCGTGTCAATGGTTTGGCAATTTCCGCATATCCCCGAACAAAGCGTTGATAGAAGTTGGTGAACCCTAGGAAGGCTTGTACTTGTTTGACGCTCTTTGGTTCTGGCCATTCCATCACACCCTTGATCTTGACTGGGTCCATCCGCATCGAATTGTGTCCAATAATCACACCCAAATATTCGATTTCCGTGCGTTCGAACTCGCACTTTTCGGGTTTCAGGTACAGCTTGTGTTTTTGGAGCAGTTCGAGTACTCGTTTCGTGATCTGCCGATGTTCGTCCAAGTTCTCTGTGAAGATCAGTATATCATCAAGATAGACTACCATGTGGCCCTCGTTGATCAGTTCTCGGAGTATGTCATTCATCATGTTTTGGAAGGTTGCCGGGGAGTTTGTGAGACCGAAGAACATGACCAAGGGCTCGTACAGTCCGCGGTTCGTGCGGAACGCAGCCTTCCACTCGTCGCCCTCTTTGATCCGTACATTATTGTATCCCCACCGGATGTCGAGCTTGGTGAAGAACTTTGCACCGCATAGATTATGGACCAGTTCGGAGATCAGCGGCAGCGGGTACCAATTTCGGATTGTCATTTCGTTCAGCTTCCGATAATCTTGGATGGGGCGTAGCGAGCCATCCTTCTTTTTGACAAAGAAGAACGCTGATGCCATGGGTGATTTGGAAGGCCTGATCCGTCCGCTGGCCAGGTTCTCTTGTAAGAACTCGTCGAGTTTGACCTGTTCGTTTTGTGATAACGGGTACACCTTGCAGTCCACTGCTTTGGAACCAGGTTTGAGCTCGATTGCATGGTCCCATGCCCGTCGGTCTGGCAGCGAGTTGAACGATTCCTTGGCGAATACTTTGACAAATTCCCGATATTGATCCGGAATCTTCCCCTCGGTCATTCTCTCCTTCTCTTTTTCCGCTTCTTCTGCAAATTTCTGCGCTGGCGTTTCCTTCAACCGTAGATCCACCTCCTTCCCAAAGTCGATCAACAGGATCGACTCTCCCTCTTCCAGATCCGGTGCACCTGCGTCCAGGTCAATTGCATCCATGTCGATCATTGCTTGATGCTCCTTGTGACCCCTCATGTGACACCGCTCTGGACATTGACTGAACCTCATCGTCTGCTCCTGCCAATCCACCTCGGGGTTGTGTTCCGTCAGCCAATCAAGACCGATGAAGATCCGAGCTTTCCCTAAACATGTCAGCAGAAGGAACGTGTGTGTCTCCACGTGAGGACCGATTCTCATCCTTAGGTCGACGTAATGCATGATCCGACCGCTGATGTTCTCGGTGTTGTCGGCGTTACAAGCCACAATGGGTTGGGGAAGTTCTTGGATATCCAGCTTCTCTGCCCACGCGTAGTCGGTATCAATGCAGCAGGTGCTACAGCCACTATCGAGTAGCGCCTTGACTCCGCGCGTCTTTCCTGAGTCCAGGCCCGTGATCTGGACATACACATCCATCGAATGTCTCTTCCTTTTGGCCTGGCAGTTGCGCAGTTCCTGCGCCAGTCTGCTGGGTTGCGGGCCCTTCTGTCTCTCGGCTGCCTATTTCCTTTGAACGGCATCTGGCACCCTCGTGCGTTTGGGTGCTTCTGGAACCCTGATTTCGGCAGATTCCTTGGGCGCTTCCTCCTTTTTCAAGGATTGAGCCTCCGGAGTGATGCTCCCCTTTTCGGTCTTTGTTGACGTGGTTCCTTCTCCACGAGCCATAAATACGTAGGAGTCCAAAATTAATTTATCCGCAGCTTTCTGATCCTTTTTACTCTGTAAATACTCTCTATTTAAAGCTATTTTCTTTTGACGTTCCTTTTCCATATTAGCGACAAGAAAATCGTGAATATTAGTACGTAGGGAGTCTGAGATTGTGTATGTATGTGCAGAATCATTCATGTCTTTAATTGAAACAAGTATAGAAAATCGTCCATAGTCCGGACGCTCCACCTCCTTGGCTAGAGGAGTGGAGCGCTTCAAAAACCCTTCTCACGCAGCTTCTCGGCAATCTCCTTGAGGAACTCGTTGTCCTTATCCCCGTTCTCGATCTCTTCCAGCATTGTGGCCCGATTGAAGAACGTGCGCTTCTTCTTGGGCTCCGAACAATTCCGCGCGATGTGCCCCGGCTGTTGACAGTTATAGCAGATGATATTGCGACTGCGGGCATGGGTGCGATCGATTTCCATCGGGACCGGTTCGTTGGCAGCCGGCCGGGTCAGAGCAGGCATGGGCGCCGCTGGTGCTGCCTGAGGGCGGAATTGGGGAGGAGGCCGTGGAGTCGAGTGCGCATAGGAGGCCTTACGCAGCTGATCGCGCAAAGCATTGGCCTCGATGTTGACACACCAGTTCTTGAAGGCACCATATGCCTTGGGCAGGGGAACGCCGGTGTTGTAGAGGCGGCTTGCAATTTCGCTGCTGAGTCCGCGCTCCAGGAACTCGATGAGGATATTGTCCTGTTCCCCCTTCTTGTACTTGCCCTTGCTGTCGGTGGAGGTGACCACATTGTATCCCGCGTCTGCAGCCAGCATTTCGAAGTCGGAGATGTAGTCCGCAAAGGACCGTCTGCCCTGGCGAAGGGCCATGAGTCGGGCGGCAGCGACTTGCTCTGCGTTAGAATCCCCAAAGGCCCTCTGAAGCTCCTCCAAGAAGCTTGTTGCGGTGACTCCCGCCTTTAGTCCTTGGAAGCCCTCAAAATTGTGCTGCTTCCAGTTCATTGCCCATCTTGAGGCGGCGCAGCTTGTGCCGCTCTCATTGCGGAGGTAGGACAGGACGAAGAGGATTTTCGTCTCGTCCAGCAAGAACTCTGACCGATAGGCACCGATGTAAGTGGTGCACGCATCCACAAAGCCCAGGTACTTGGACTTGTCGCCATCGAAGTAGGGGGGATTGGCGGCGAGGGTGATGCGGTGATGTCCTGACATGGTAGGAGCAGGTGCGGTAGGTGGGGGCGAGGGTGGTTGTTCGGAGGGTAACTCGCCAAGGTCGGGGAACTCGTCTTCAGGCGGCGGAAGGGCGAGATAGGGGTTGGAGGGCCCGGGTTGGTTTTGATGCGCCAGATCGGGCGACGATGGTATGATGGGGGGAGGGGATGGACTCCCAGATGACGATGGGAATCGGTACAAAATGGTGGATTCGTGTGCTGTACAAGCACTCGAGGAAAGGTTCTTTTGCTAGCAAAAAGATCCCGGGCCTAGCTCTTCACGTGCCCGATGATCCCGAGGTGCGTTTTCCCGAAGGTCTCCACAGCACTCCTTGTAGCTACCGTGAGGCTTGGGTCGGGCTCAACGTTACCCGTGGCCTGGTGCTGTTTGCTCGATATGAACCTTTCACTGCGATCGCAGCGAGCGACTAGATGATTCGGTAAAAGGGTGAGTGGGATGATAACGGTGAAGAGGATATAGCGGGCGTAGTGGTGCAGGGAGCAGGGTAGGAGGTAGGAGGTACGAGGGTATGAGGGGAGTCTTCGAATTATGTGACAATCAACCCAAAAACAAAGTCGAGAAGAGAAGTGAATTCGAAGACTGCAGAATACAACCAAGTAGCTACAGTATTTATACCCAAATCCAGTCTGAGTCATATCTACAACTAATGAGTCACAAGGCTATGTACCGCATGGAGCACTGGTCATGGGTTGTAATAGAACCTTCTGGAGCATATGTCGCGCAGCCTCGAATCGATGAAGATAATCCCTGGAACCCCTAGTCCGGACCGTCGGATGCCGTGATCCGTGATAAGATAATTCGTGCCGAGATAGCGAGATAAGATAAGATGGTTGATGATAAGATGAAAAAGGGTTGAACTATGACAACTGTAAATAGATGATATTTTTTTAATTGATTCTCACTGGGAATAGACATCGATTTTCACTGAAAATAGAAACAAAAAAAGATGATCTTTTTTCCATTATTGAAAGAACCTCTTTTTAGTAAAAAAAGATCATCTTTTTTTGTTTCTATTTTCAGTGAAAATTGACATCTATTCCCAGTGAGAATCAATTAAAAAAAGATGATCTATTTACAGTGCTGTTTTAAGGAGGAATAGATGTCTATTCATGGTAAAAATGGAGCTGTAAATCAACATCTATTTTTAATATATATATTTTGTCTGAAAACAGAACAGTGAAAATCAGACTTCTAGATTGTCACACGTTTTCCACGGCAGAAAAACAAGTCCCTCCGCAGTGCCAACAGCTCTTGCAGCGCAAAGTTTCGGTACAGTGGTGTGAGGTTAAGAACCAGGGCTTGGTCGGTATCTTCCGAAGCACAGCTTTCTGTCATCCTAGAGCTTCGACGATCGCACCACGTCAAGATCGGCTTATCGATCATTTGATTCCGTCCTCGACAACACAGACATGAGCGAGTGAAACAAGAGAGAAATTCAAAATCCATTATGTAGTTATACGACGCAAAGTCTGTGGTGCGCTCGGAGGCATTCAGACACGGCTCATGCCGCCGCGCTTTGGCCAAGTCCAATATCAATGTAATGGTGCTGACATAAACAATGGTACTCCGACAACGCAACGTTTCCTTGTTCTTGTTCTTCCCATGACTCGTGTGATCAACAAGCTGTCGGACTAAACCCATGCGAGCACAAGAGCGGTGCAGCACACATCCGTCTATCACATGGACCCACGGAGGGTTGGCCGTTCCTGTCTCGCTCCTCCACCGCGGTGACCGCACACCACCAGTGTCCGCCACCTATCGCTTGCCCTCCGTATCCCGCATCCTGCCATCACGACCTTGGACTCCGACCGCTTCTGCTGGGACTCTTCCTGCCTCTTCCTGCCTAGAGACGGGGTGTCATGACCACCGCTGAAGTTCTGATACGACCGTGCGTATCTTTCCCGCTAACCAGCATCGCATCCTGTTGTGTCTCCGCTCTCTCGTTGATTGAATATGGTCGCAGAACTGCACGCGCCGCGCCCCTATACCACTTTACCGAACGTGACCCTTTCGTTGGCACCGAGACCAGTACTACCATCGCTCCTCCAGCCGCCCAACCGCGGGGCGAGAACGATGTGTTTGACGGATTCTCAGACATGTTAGAACGCTTCGGTGGATTCAGCTGCGACGAGCCTCAGTTGTATGCGTTGAAGAAGAAGAACGCCGACTATAAGCGTGACTATCCCCAGGAAGCAGGGTGAGTGTCCATCTCCGCCTGATGTGCTAGAGCGTCGCTGCGTGCTCAATGACGTCGGGCAGATCTTCCTCCCGGATTGCGTGTAACATCACTCTCAATGGTCCGCGTGGCGGCTCTCCGCCGGCCTACCCTGCCCTGTCGACCGGTGCCGCTGGCCAGGACGAGGACGATGAGGACAGCGGCGATTGCGAAGAGGAGGATGGAGAGGAAGAGGATGAGGATGAAGTCGAAATCATCATTCATACCAATGATGGTGATCAGAGATCGCATTTGCCCCAGATATCGGGGAGCACCTTAATCAGCAACACCGACATCACAGCACAGGCTCTGCGTATAAGCCCAGCCCAGTATGGGAGTACATATCCTGGAGGCAAAGGCAAACCAAAGGCCGTCAATTACTACGACCAACCCGTGTACGCGGCTTGTTCACTTGAAATCTCTTGTTGACATCTCCGTCCAGCTCCCACCCTTTCCAACCCTCTGCTGTCGAGAATGAAGAAGACAGTGGTGACCAGTCTGAAGGTACATTTCTCCCTATCTCATGTCACTGATTCACATCTGATAAGCGTTCCTGGACAGTTGCAACAGAACCGAAGCATCCGGTTGAGAAAGATCGAGAGCAGAACTTTCCAAAGCCCCCAGAACGCTGGATAGACGAGGACTACGACGGGGAAAATGACATGGACGAAGACACGACTCCTGACGCGCAGAAGCCCGTGTCGATTCTGGAGCGGCCGGTCGACCCTGGTCAAGGCGGCCAATCACTTCCATTCGCCTCGAAGATGCACGAAGGGTTACCCAATGCGGCACAACCGAGCCAACCCTCCGCCGTGTTTCAGGATTCTGCCAAGCCGCCAGCCAGCCAGATGTTAGATTCAAAAACGGTCCTTGAATCGCCACCCGTCTTTGGAAGTTTGGCTGCCTTCTCAGGCGGACGTGTGCCGCAAGAGGAGGACGAGGCGCTGGCTGATGCCTTCTTGGCTGAGATTCACGCTATTTTGGACCAGCAATCCTGTTCGGAGACCATTATGAATTCGGCTGCTTGCATGCCACAAACTTCTGGCTCGATCGTGGAATCAGCACCTCAGCCGTTGGGTCTTGGAATGCAAGCTCTTGAATCAGCACCTCGGTCGTTGGGTCCAGCATCGCTACAGCTTATCGGTCCAGAACCTCAACCCTTCGCCGCTGCAGTCGGCAAGCTCGGTCCCCTGCCTCAATCTCAAGTGCCACAGCCGAGCGACGAGATATGCTATGACACGCTTGCTGTCTCCTCTCAGCATGAGGATATGTCGCCCATAGCGAATCAGTTTAGGCCAGTGGTGCACATCTACAATCCCGCTGGACCGAGCACGGATCCCTTTCTCAACCCGCCAGAAGAACTCGATGGGAATTTCTTACCTACACCTTTGCAGCCGAGTCTCAAACTCGATGCGCCTGTCCCTAATCATCCATTTGTCATCCCGCTAGAAGGTGCGAGGACCGGTCCGTTCACGATTCTATCACAAGACCATGATCCGTGGAATCCCCCTGGTCTCTGGAATCAATCGCTGGCTGCGTCCGATCCTATCGTGGAGAAACAGGAGCATATGGCGCTGCAACCTCCACAGGAACTATTCCAGCAGCCTCAGCAGCTGTCAGAGCAGCAGCAATTCGAGCAGTACCGCTCTCATCATCGACCCACTTTTCTGGAACCAGCACCGATCTCACACTCATCGTTGACGATCTTCGCTCTGCTAGACGCCGAGGTCAAGTGGTCCCACTCGCGGCCAGTTTCTCTGGGCAAGCGGCCGTACTCGATAGTCCCAGCAGCCGTGTCCGAATACGAATGGAGACGGGAGGCTCTGCGGCAGAGCCAGGTGTCTTTGGTGTCTGAAGAGCCGGCTCCGAAGAAACGGTGTCTTGCGACGTTCATTCCGAAGGCTTCCACTCGTCCGGTCGGAAGGAGAGCAAGGAAGTCCAAGACGGATATAAAGATCGCCCGCCATGAGCAGCGAGAGTTGTCACCAGCTCCGAGTTTCTCCTCCCGTTCGACTGTCTATAGCAGTAGCACCACTGCATCTTCAAGGGGAGATTGCAAGGTGGCCCATGCCGACGAAACAGTCAACCCGTGTGTTCACGTATCACCACCTTATTCGGCATTGCGCCGACTTGCTCCTCCGCCAACCTCGGCGAGCAGACTGCGCAATCTGCGCCGACCTGAGAGACAGCAGCAGTCTAACGATTTGCTGACATTTGCGTTGAAATCTGTCTCGTCCTGGTGGTCGCGTTGAAACAAGTTGCTTATTGAGGGTGTATGTGTTGCTATTAATCTTGATACAATTCTGTTACTTGTATGTTTTTGTCGAAATAGATCATATACCGGCGCGATTTCAATGAGAAGCAGCCGCGGGCTGTCAGGCATCTATCGATCCTTGAGTAGTCGAGATCAAACCAACTCGCAGCAACGGAGCCCCAGTAATGCGACGATGAGAATTCCCGACGTCATAAGAGGTTCGTTGTCGAGGATCGTATCAGATCTAGAGAGGAATGCTTGGGCCGTTGGCCATGTGGAGTGACGAAATAATTTGCTGCCGGTCAAGAAGCTGTCGAGGTCAAACATGGATTCCCGAGTGTTATCTACTGGAACCGAATCATGCCTAACATGTGATCTGAGACCCTGTAGATCGAGTCGAGCGACCCACTTATCTCTGCGGCCCGAATATACTTCCGTTAGCTCGTTTTTGTGGCTTGATCGTTTCTGCTCGTGAATAGACCTTTTCACAATGGGCACGTAGTTTATGGTTCAGGGCTCTTCCGCACTTAAACACGACCAAACGCAATCCAGTCATTGGCAAGTCGTTTCGGAATCGTTTTCTTCGAGCTGCGAGGTTGCAGAGGACAATCAGAGATTTTCGTTATCTGTGCGACGAGTGTTACAGCGTGTAGCTGGAGTCGTTGAGACTGTTTGTGTGGGATGGCTGAAACAAAACGTTTGACTGCAACGCCATTCCTCAAACACATATGTGCCACAGATCGGTCATGCTCGGGTCGTTGGATTGTGAGATGAACACAATCTTGCAGTTCTATCGACGCTTCCGTTACGGTCCTTAAAGGCTTACTTGGAAATGGTATTCGATCACGTGGCGATCCGATTCTAAGGATCGACTGACTACTTACTACTAGCATCTCTTGACGCTTCAAGCAAGTGCGCTGGATTACCGCACAATACGCTTGCCGTCGGTCTTTGTGTGCTGCTGCAGTCGAAGCTAAGCCACGCCGTATTCCCTGCATCATTCGGATGTCCGGCAAATCTTATCACAACACGTCCAGGGAGGATGTAACTCTGTATCGAGACTGGGCGCGAGGGAAGAGTGGGATCTAGTGGGATGGTGTATAGCATCAGTCATTCCGGCTCTTATTGTGCGCTGCAGCCTAAAATCTGGCATGCGTTACATACATCATGTCCCTGCGTGGCATGTGAGTCTCAGCTTCATGTTCGTGCGTCGCACAGCTCAGAGTGCCATAGGCTGCAAGTGGGAAGACCCCAGTCTTCCTTCGCCCTTGTACACACTTGGGTGGTCTCGGGCGATAAGTACGCGAGCTGTCCTCCCGTGCACGGGCTACACGAGCATTGGACAGGAGAGATGACATTTGGCCGTGAACATCAGCCTGTCAAGTGGGCTCGCTGTTTTAACGGCGGCGCTGTCATTGGGCTTTGCCCCATCTGAGGCCCGCGCTCCGTAGGTGGACTGCACACTGAGGGTCTTGAGCCATGATCGCAGTGGTCCGCGTCCAGTTCGCAGCATGATATAGTCATAGCGTCATCGGGTCGGCCCCGGGTCCCCGACCAATGATGGACTAGATGACAACATGCTGTGCCTGGCACATCACGAGTCTCTTCCCTCCCCGATGATCCACTTGAAATGTACATTCCGATAGCCCTAGGCTCCGGCCCTAGCAAGCCTAGCGCGTCCACGATCTAGCGGAAACGGCTGGAACGACCCCTCTTACGGAAGAAATGAAAGCCACATGACCATGCCATATCCCACGACGGGCCCCCATCACCGTTTGAGACTCTCGAACAGTGTCTGGCATGATCCATCCGCCGCCAAGACTCCCGCTTAGCCAGGGTATTTAATTCCGGAGGCGCGCCCACTATCCGTCGTCTCAGCAGTCATGCACTTTCCCCTCAGTGTCGTCTTTGCTGTCTCTGCGGCCTTGGTGTCCAGTGTATCAGGAGCTGCGGCCCCGCCTCCCGACAACATCGTCTATGTCACCGACCTGAACAAGTTCTGGTGAGCCCTTGTTTCTTTCGCGTGCTGTATCGCTCCATCGGACTCACATGCCCGCCCTGAAGCTTGATGATGCCCCGGGACCCGCACACCAACATCGGGGACAGCGAGCATCCAGGCGGGATGAAGACCTACTGCTCGCCTGCCGGACGGTATTCGTCCATCCAGGGCCAGCTTCCGGGCGCGTTCTGGAGCAACGTCGAGCTGAAGAACGGAAACGGCGTCCACGGCGGGAAGTATGTCCAAAGTCAGTGCGCTCCAGGATCACCGGGGTAGCAGTGATTGAATCTGTATCAAGTGACAGGGTGCATCCGCCCTGAACTTCTCAGCCGATTGAACCCGGGCGATTCCGGAGGACAGTACGACTCCAGTGGCGGCGCTGGCGGGCGCGGCAATCCGCAAGACTCGGTTTGCTTGGGGTCAGTGCTGGCGATGATCGTCTCACATCTGAGGCCGATTCACTGATATATGTTCCAGCTACAATCATTACGTTGAGCTCGTCGAACCTGCCGGCCCACGTGCTTGCATCCGGTGCTGCAACGATGCTGCAGACTGCCCAACAAACAAAGGTAGGGCGCTTGAAGCATCGCAAGTTCTGGGCTCACGACCATCCTTCAGACACTCAAGGTTGTCCTAACGTCATCCCCGGCAACTACTTCAACTGCGGTTAAGTTGGCCATCTTATATGAATGAACGAACACTGTACATAGTGTCACGGACATCTACTCTCAATGAACTGTTAACGTTTACTGTGTTGGACAATAATAGTATCTGGCATTCATGACACTCGACTTCTTCACGTCCGAACTGACCAGGAAACGCGCTCTTCGACCCGCAGAAGATGCTGCATCTTCGGCATAGCGGCTCGAAGATCCACCTCCTGGATGCTCCGTGCGGCTCCGACCGCAGATTCAAGATAGACACGCAGAATGGAAAGTCCGCCGGCAACGGCAGCCAGTTCTCTGTCCAACTGAGCCCAGATCTCGGGTAGCTGAGGGATATCCCACTGTGCGATAGAGAGCTGCCGGACAAGTCGGATGCCAGGGCCAAGAAACGGGAGGATGTACCACAGGGCTTCGGGACGTCGCAAGAACAGATTGATGCGTCGTAGCTTGTGAGATGGGTGCAATAGGATGGATAGATTGCTAGAATAGAATTCGGGGCATGCTGCGGCGAGTGAGGGGGCGTCTCATCTATTGGGAGAGACCGAGTCCAGGACGAGACTCACAGAGTTCCAAGGCAACATGAAGTGTCAACTCTCGCAGGGTCCCGACATTTCGGCGGAATAGGTCTTCGTGCTGGCGATCCACTGACAGGGCGTGCAGGCAGGTCATGTCCACCTTGTGCAACGCCTGCAGCATGGCATCCACCGTATCCTCGGGAATAGCGTACAATTCGAGGGTCTTGAGAGTAACCAGAGCCCCGCGTTTCGTCGCTAATCGATACCCGGTGTGTTGGTCGAAATCGACAGTCTCAAGAAGCAGCTCTCTGAGGACAGGAAACGAGCCGATGATAGTGTCGAATTCAACAAAGTCCGCAAAGGTATGAACGCGAAGCTCCAGGCGACGCAGACGATTGACAAAAGTTAGGGTGCCAAAGGAATCTTCCATCGACAAGATCGCCTCAGCGTAGTTGTAGATAGAGGCTGAGCGCAGATTGACCAAGCACTTGAGGATCTTGACCATCCGAGGATCTTCCAAAAGATCGACCGGCAGAATGAGGTGCTTCACATAGCGTGCTAGGTGTGGGGACATTTTCAGTAGTCTGTAGAATCGGTGAAGACGTTCTCTTCCGGTGTCCAGTTTCGCGCATAGATCCACCAGAAAGAAGAGCTTCCTTTGGCAAGCGTGCACGAAATGGGGGCTTGAGGTGCAAAGCTTCTGGAGCCAGTCTTTCGACTCGAAGACAATCTCGCCGTGATGTGCAGCATCGGGGTATGCATGGGGTAGATGCGCTATTATCCTGTCGATGATCTCGCCCGGAAGGCGCTGCTGAACACCAAAGACGTGCTGGAGTTTAGATGACAGGATGTTGCGTACGGAAACGACACGTGAGCGGGTCAACTTGCAGAGAGGCGCCGAAATTACTATCTTCTGGTTGAGCGGATCCGTGTTTTCGTCCAGCGGTGTTTTGTGTGCCATCTTGGCGTAGGCTGTGGTCGGGAGGCGGAAAGTAATCCGGCGGGTACAGCCACGGCTACAAACAAGTACAATTTTGCCTATTGGCTACTTGTAGACCCGTTCAATCTGTGCGCAGGGAAACTCGCATTTCAGAGCACGGATTGATCTAGAAAGTAGATTAATTAACGGGGGCTACGGAGGCAAAGTAAGAACAGAGAACGTGATCTCACAAGTACACAGTACGAACTGATGAGCACAAACCCGATTTTTAGAGCGACTTCTCATCTTCGACTGAGAGCTTGGGGATGCGGAGAAGATCCTAATGAGTGCGATCAATTACCGCATGGAAACTGAGGAATGAGATGGTTTACTGATGTCTCCAGCGAATCGACACAAGGGTCGAGTGCTGATCCATGCCTTAGGCGACGAGACTCGACGACTCAGTAGAGAGTTACGAGGACCATGGATATTTGAATACAGCTGCCGATTGCGAGCATCATCGTGGGATCGAACTATGGATTTCATATCAGCAGAGCTAACTCGCGCGGACTGAAGCCTAAAAGACCTTGCCCTTGCTTGCAATGGCGACCACCACCACTTTTTCCGCGGTTCTGGTGATGAGTTGGATCACCGCACCACTCAGATAGGCCACGTCCGGCACGTCAAGGTAAGCAGCGACCACGTCGGACAAGTCAGCGGTGAGATCCGAAGAGACACACGCGAGATCGTCGAAACCACAATCGCAAGGAGAGCAGAAGGAATGCTGAGTGGGGAGCGGCGGTCCTCAAGGCGAAGAACGTCATCCTTGGCGCTGGCGAACATACATGACACTTGATGGGAGTAATGAGCTCGAAAATGGCGGTGTCAGGAACAGATAACGCTGCCCCACTGAGATTTTGATGCGTGCGACATAACTGGGAGAAGACGTGAGCAAATCAGAACGAGATGGGAGGGAAACATGAGGACATCAAAACTGAGGATGATAGCAGCTGCGCGGCGGAGTTTGGGCATCCGGCAGGCAAGCACTTGTGGAGATACTGATGCTGACATCGCCTCAGGTAAGATGAAAAGGATGCGATGTTGTCCGACATACCAATCTGAGTGAGTTGATGAATGTCGTGACGGACACAGTCGGTGGTGACGAGTTGAGCTGGGCAACACTTCTGAGAAGAGAAGAGGAATCCGCCCGGTGAATCATATTACGGAAATGCCCTAGCCCAGTGACAAAGCACACGCAGCCAACGAAGGTCGCGCCAAGAACAATCATGATGTCGTTCTATGGTCCACAGAGCGAGGAGGTGTTGCGTAAGAGTCGAGTCTCCACCTCTGACAGGAGAGGCAGCAAAACAAAGAGAATCCCCCCGCCATGGCCCTGGCTCGACTCGTGGCGCAGTTCCCGCGATGATAATCTCCACCGCATTTCCTGACCGTGGCATTCAGCAAACCACAAACGCTATAATTCGTCCGGCGCGCAGTGCTTCCCGTGCCGAAGCCCGCAAGGGCAGCGAACGAAATGAGGCCCAAGCACGATAAGATGAAGTTGTTGATAGGACTGTGATCTGGTCCATATGGCGATTGACATTCAAAAGACATGCAAAGCAGCAACAGGTTTAATGGTCCGTACCACAACACGGCGCGGAGCGTGGCGAATTAGGAAGGTCCTCCGAAGGTCGTGGCAAAGGCAGGAAGAAGACCTGGTCTGTATGAACCAGGGATGGGATGAACCCGCACTGCACGGCTTGGCACCCAAACTGTCTCGGACAAGCCGCCGACGATTGTCTTCCAATTATCGAAGAACATGAGGCTGGATGCGTGACGGGCAAGAAGCAGATGCTCGTCCGGCGGCGGCCAGTTTCGAGAGGAAAAGGTATATGATGAAAAAGGTACTCGACATCTCCGCACTGCGGCTTTAAAAAGCATCCAGCCATACTTGGCGGACTCCAATCAAAGATAGCCTCCTTCGATGCAAGACACGGGATCCTCAAGGTCAATCAGCAGACTGACCGTCTCACTGGAAAATCCTTTGTTCAGGCACCCCCAGTCCGTGGCATCGTGGCAGGCGAGAGGCGATGGGTCTCCTCGATGAGGCAGGAAATGCCCGAAGGGAGCACATTTCTCTGACCACCAAGCGAATGGCGTAGTTGGTGATGGCCAAATAATATTCAACATCCGAGATGTCAAGCTGCCAAAGGCTCTCCGAAAGTCCTCCGACACCGTACACACACATGAACAAACCCGACCAAAGACCATCGAGATCATCCTTGCCTGTGACCGCCTGTTGTCGAATTTACCAAAGCAGACTGACCGGTGTTCGACGGCCCCGATACTCGCCCTACAAAGCAGCACTCGGAACTTGGACTTGAACTTGTTCACCTGATCATGGGAGTCAATCAATGCTGAGCTGATACGGAGCCTCCTGTTCTTCCTTGACTTCCATCGTTGGAGGGAACCGCGCTCACTTCCTAGGGCTCCGGGGAATCCCGTGGTCTCGGCTATCTTTCTTCGAGCGGCAATTACAGCTTCACCGCCTAAAAGTATGTGAGAATCCGATTTCTTGTAGAAGACCTTATGATGCTCTTATGATGCGTTTCGGTGACCGCTTTCTCCCATTGGTAATTCTGTGCGATATTATTGGACCCATCTCCAACATGTTCACAAAAAGTAGTGCGAGTCCAGCGATTCGGACTCGAAGCTGTTGCTATGTATGAGTAAAGCCCGAGAGTTCCTCGACCTGCTCAGTCACTGTATTGCTACTATTGCAGTTCTCCCGCCTTATCTCTGGTGCGCCGTTTGCGGCAGGTGCTTGCCTCAGTCATCTGCCGGACCTCCTTTGGCGTCGGCTGAAACTTTCTGTCCGAATAATAGCCTCCGCCCGCCGGGATGCTGCATGCAGAGGCTTGTGCCCCAATTGCAGACGGCCGCCTGGGACATCTCGCATGCCATGATCTTAGGACTGCTCGAAATGTCGCGACCCGACAGGACTGGGACTACATGGGCCGGACCGGGGATATCCAATGCCTCATGTTCTTCGGTTGTCGAGATTTTGAAGAGAGTTGGCGACCATGTGCAGATGCCTGTGTGTTTTGTTCACACAGTCGTCTGGCGACGTATGATGCACCTGGTGCCTACGAGATCCCATTGGGTGTCTTACCCACCTCGGGCTCGTAGATATCTAATCTGCCTTGATGATCAGTCAACGTCATGGGTTGGTCTAGTTGGTCCTCGGCATTTTGACCTGCGTTGTCGGGCCCCGGCGACCTGGGCGCAAGGCCAAAGCTTGTTCCCTCAAGCCCATGACATATCTCACGTGAGCATGCAGTCTGTCCATAGTTTCGAGTAACTTTGGACCAGATCCCATGTGGATCATCCCAGGAACACAAAGCCAGAATGGTAAAACTTTGGTAACTCTATGAGACTGTATGTGGACAGGCAAGGAAGTGCTGGCGCCTTTTACAGTAGCCGCGCCATGATGGCACTGGCTTTTGAGGGTCCTCCTTCCACGTCCCAGCGGCTGCTGCACTACGTTGTGTCAGCTTCGTATGTGAGTCCGATCTGTTGCGGGGGCTCAGATCACCTCGAAGCTTCCACAGCTCTGCATCGGTGGGTATGTGCCAGTCAGATTGGTTTCTTTCTCCGCAGCTCTGGCTCCGCGCTCTGGGGTAAGCCCAGGGTAGGCCAGGGCAGGCCAGGGCAGCCAGACGGCCCAAGGCGGCGTCCCAGAAGACGTCATGATAAGCGTCGCCGGCGGACCGCTGTCTCGCATCGCATCAGCTTCCCACGTGCTGAAGGCCCCTAAATCCATTTGGATTTGAAAAGGTACAGCGCAATACCAATTACTGGGCAGAGCGAGAAATTGGAATTAGGAGGCACGCAGATGCGCGTAACCGGCGTAAAAGCCTCACCACGCTTGGAGAGAGACTCACCGGTACGTAACAAGGCGAGTCGGAGACGCAGTTGCAGCCCGGGCTGCTCGGACCTGTACGTTACCCGCAAAATCAACCCTGAATTCCACGCATACTAGGCCGTGGTAGCCGAAGCGTGGCAACGCGGATACGTTGGCCTGTGTTGGGACAAGCGACCATGACACTCACCAGACGGCCGATGACCGCCTGCAGCCACAGTCAAGAGTGAGCGTCACTGTGACCGATGCGGATATAACACCTTCGAAACGCGTCCGCGGAGCGCGTCTCACGCGTCGTGCACCCGATACACAGCCAACCAAACCCCCCGAGTGTAATAATGCGGATGCCATACAGTGAATGAGTGCGAGTAACGCTGATAAAGCTATAAAGTACTTTAAACCCGTGTAGAAGCCCTGAACGATGCAGAAGATAAATGATGTCTATGAGATGGATGGAGGGGTTGCATGCAGTGGAGAATCGAAAGCGACGAAAGCGAGATGCAAGTAATAGAGCGTGCGGGTGGGGGGAAACTGGGCTATAGCCAGTCGATCTACGAAGTCCCAGGTGGTAGAAAGAAGTCTAGTGATGAGAGGAGAGAGGGTGTGCGAGGGCGCGCCAATGAGGCGTGCCAATGAGGTGTGCAATGAGGTGCGGCTACTGTCGCGGTAGCGGTCGCTCATTTTGATTTTTGCTGCGTGCCCGCGGGCGGCGTCGTCAGCGCAATCATTCCTCAAAGGCCACCTCAATCGTGACAAAGAGATGGCACTCACCGGAGTGCGCATCATGGGTGCCGCTAATGTGGGTTGTGCGCACTGTACGACCAGAGTGTCAGGACGGTGAGCACAGGCTCAGGGAATTCTCACGGGCGTAGAAGGGTGTCCTGGTTTTGTAAGACTTTGCCGCAGCTAAATCGGAGAGAAGCCCGGTCAGACGCAGCGAAAATAGATCGATAGCAGGGGCAGACAAACCAGGGCTTCACTCTCTTTGGCCCGCTGAGCATACATGCTAGGATGCATGGAGATCTCGCCCATTGTCTTCGCGTTATGCAGGGAGTTCAAGGACGTCGAGACACTCGGGAAGGCGACTGGGCCCTTTTTGCCGGAGCTGGACATTTCGTGATACAAGAAAAGGAAGACAGAGAAAGGAGAGAAAGAAGATGGCCGAAGGGCGTGGCGCGTGCGGCGGCAGCACGGTGGGGGATGGTAGGAAAATTAGACCGTAATGGGGGAAATATATAAGTACCGATGTGACTGAACGCGTGACGCTTCCAACTTCCCGATCTCGCGTGTGAGAGCGTGACGCGGGTGGGAAGCTCAATGTGAGTGATCATCTCTCAACGTGTGTGCAATTCGCGTAGTAAGATAAGGTCCCAGATGCAAGCCAGATGCGACTTTTCTAGGATGCCGAATCGATCTCGACGAATTACGCAATGGAACACGAGGCCGGACGAAACCCCCTGCTGCGATGGTCTTGGGAATCCGGATGTTTCTTGACTTCTATGAATCTCATCTCACCCGCTATCGACGCTGAGTTCGGGCCAAGTCATTACTATTAATGGCTGGGAAAATTATGACTGACGCGCAGTTGTATGACTTCCTCCTGCCGCCAAAACGCACGCAGGGTCGTGTGGGGTCGATACATTGAAGGGTCGAGTTCCACCCGGGGTCGGATGTGTGCTACAGCCTATACCGCGGAGGAAAGGCGAGAACAAGCACCTGCCCATTCTATATTCTTGCAACATGAGTCAACATCTGTCCCAGGTCCCCGCCATCCCGTGACGCGCAGGCTGTCCAAGCATATCTTTGAAATCCCCTGACTGGAGGTCGTGGACTAGCTGGCTGGTGATACAGGATGCAGTCCTTGCAGTGCTGGATTCAAGATCCGTTGATGTCCCATGTGCTTGTTTACATGTCGCAACTGGTTGCTCTGTGGGTGAAGGGATGGTGATGGATCATCGACGGTTCTCTTTCTTCGAGCATTTGGCCAAGCATGAGACAGTGACAAGCTGAGAGCGTGGGCGATCGGGGCCTGCCGGCGAGCGAAGCCACGTCTATAGAAAGCGCGGCAATGCTAGGTCTGAGAACAGCGGGTTTGACCGCTCAATGCAATCGCCCAGGAACACAGATCCAGTGCGCTAAATCAAGCTCTCCTCCGTCTGGGGTGAAAAGTCTCTTTGTGTTAAACACGTTAAACACACGCTATCGATTCATCATTTTGCATGTGTCTATTATTCCACTGCCTGAACGCCATCATAAGCGGGAAGTCGCTGACATGCCTCCGACCAATCAATCGTGCCAAAGACCAGGTCTGTGACAGTGGAAATTACATCGTCGAACGACCCGATCCGTTGATCCGTAGTATCACGCTCGCTGGTAAAGGTAAGCTCACAACTATCTCGACCTGAGCGGAATGCCGCGTACCGTAATGTCATCGTCCTGTTTTGGACAGCTGGTCGCAAGCGCACATCAACGGGGAGAACGGTTCGAGAAGGGCAAAAACGCACAGGCAAAGTCCAATGTGATACCAAATGGTGTACCCAATTCGTCATTTCGCGCATACCGCTTGCCAATTGACGTGTTTGAATCGTCAACTCGAGCATGAACCCCAGCCTTCCTCAGCCGGGAAGCTTTAAGCAGCATACTTAGCCGCGAAGCGCATGGCCAATGACAAATCGGCACGTACAGACTTCCTGAACCAGTGGATCAAACTCGGCTCGAGCGCTGAGGGGGACAATCAGGACTTTTGTAGGTGCAACGACCGCTGGCAGGGACAGAACCTGCCGCACGTCAGTACACAGCGGAGATGAAAGTCCAGCGACTCACACCACGCTCCACATCCTGCTCTCTGCTCCAGAAGCTGTGCTCGAGCAAACAGTACAAAATGCGACCCAGCCCAAACGAGGGCTCGATAACATTGGGCGTAAACTCCCGGACTAAGAGGGGTCAGCGTGTGAAACAAACCTTTGGCACGACTTACTCGAGGTCTTCAGGGTTTTGCGTTCGATAGTGAGCATGGATGGCTCCACCGTAAACTCGCAGCCGTCAGCAGCTTGCACTTTGGCCGGGCTGGGCAACAGTCAGATCACGGGGAAGCTCGAAAACAGAGACTCTCACCCTTGAGCTAGCTCGCCCTTCAGCCGCATCAGCGCCGCCTCATCCATGTTCTCGACAGCGGCGGAAACAGCCGCAGCATCGCCTTTGAAGGTCTTGCCGAGCGACTTCTTGTCCCATTCTGCCACAGCCTTCTCCTCGACGATGGGCTCTTTCAATGCTTGCCGCACAACAAGAGGTTGGCCAGTCTTAGCAGAGTGAACGCTGAGATCGTAGGCAGACCTGTCGGCACAGCCAACACACTCGGTCCACCCACCGACACTGTTCTGAATCTCAGCGTCCCAGCAGTCCGCAGCGTAGTGCGCCATCTCGTTGGCCATGTGCTGGCGGAATCGCAGGCGTTTCTCGTCAATTCCGATCCTGACCAAGAATGCGAAGATACGCGCGACAAAGTAGCCGAGGGTTTCGTTCGCAATGACACCCTGCTTTACTGCCTCCCCGACAGTCATCCGCCGGGTGGTAGTCTGCCCAGAAGCCTGTGTGTACTTGTCCAAAAGAACAAGCTCGACGTGCGCGACCTCGCTGAACCTGGTATGCGTCTTCTCAAGAGGGTCGACGAAATGCTCGATTTCGGCCATCGTGAACTCGCGTACACGGAGCAAGCCGGCGCGAGGAGAAATTTCATTTCGGAAGGAGCGCCCAATCTGAGCTGATGCAAATGGCACCCGTCCGTTGTTGAATTCTAGAAGACGCGAGAAGTTCAGGAAATGTCCCTGCGCCGTTTCGGGGCGCAGATATCTGAGTCACATAGCGATCAGCAATCAGGTTTCCCAGAGAAGGGGATAAAAGAACAAAAAGAACAGGATGGGATACGTCCAAAGGCATGATGAAAATGGAAGACATCAACGAATGATCGATGATGACCACCCTGGTCCGAAAACAAAGAAAATGGGGTGCAAAAGCAGATGTAGGGTACAGATGACCGAAGAGCGAGCTCGAGACAGATATGGCAGAGCGCATCGACGTGCGATGGACGCAGGGATAATCTCGACACGGCATTGGTGAACAACAGATCATCCGGTTGATGGCACCGGAGCGAGAAATCCGAACAAGATTCGCGGTCGAACATGGCAGAGATGAATCGCGTGTGGTGATTGCATTCACACCAGCAAAACACGCGCTAAGAACGCCGGTGAAAATGGGTGCGGGTGCATGGCTTTTGGTCATCAAGGACTACCTTGACAACAACGGAGGTAACCGGCTGCGAGCGAGATCTCCCCCCCTTGGCGACATCCCAAAAGGAACGAGCAGCCCAGAAATAGGGAGCAGCTAAAAGCAAACGAGCAAGTACCAAGCGTTTGTTACCCCCACCGCATCAAAGCCTAAAGTCCGCGACCGAAGATACACTCGATGCTTCTCTGAAACATCACAAGTGACGACGAAAAAAAACCCAATCAAAAACACGGAAAAATGCGATGGGATTATCACGTGGCTCTTGGGAGGGATGGGCCATGCAACCATCGTCCTCAGCATCAGTGGCCGACCAGGAACCGGAGAAATGAGAAGGAGAAACAACGACCGAGAAACAGGCGAGGATGAAATAAGATACGCGGATAGGGACGTACCCGGGATGCTGACCAGTCGGCCCGATGGAGCTTGCGAACATAAGATTGAACTGTTGCGGCTCGCCTACAGGGTTGCCCGAGCCTGGGTTCGTGATCGAGTGCGTGCGCATGAGCTGGCCAAGCTCGGGACCGGAGTAATTGTCCAACTAGTGGTGACCGTAGGGTTCAGGTGCACTGTAAAGCAAAGTCACAGGACGACGCACCTGAGCAAGGATCGACTCATACTCCGCAATGACTGCATCCTCCAATTTCACCGCCGTCGTTTTGACCTGTTTCTTTTTCTTCTTGTCCGTAGCCACGGGTACTGGCACAGCACCTCTCGCCTCCTTATCCCCAGCCAGGCGTGCCTCCAGCACGTTCTTGACGAGGTGGTCCGCACGTAAGACTTCCCCATTGAGCGTATCCTTTACCATCCAATCGGCAAATCGCGCTACATGACCGGAAGCCTCGAACACGGGTGAAGGCGTCATGATCGTGGTGTCGAGTTCGAGCATTGCCTCTTCGACGATGAAATGGCGACGCCATTCGGCGATGATGTTGGCTTGCAACGACGAACCGGGTGGGCCGTAATCGTAGAGTCCAGCCACACCTGTAGCGGATTTAAACCTCAGAGAAGGAGCCAGACCCTTGGGATAGAGACGCACCGCCATAGATTTCGAATGCGGGGGCGTAGAAAAAGCGACGATTGAGAAGAGCGTCAAATCGCGTCTTGTCGAATGGGTGAGCGGTTTTGTTGACGGTCGTCATGGTCGACGTGTCTCTTGGAATGCGATTCCAAGTAGCGGTGCGAGTAGCTGAGCGGATGAAATGTCTTGAAGTCCTAGATCGAAGGAGATGTGATAGAGGAGAAGAAAGATAATCAATGCGCATTCGAAACCGAAAAAGGACGATCTGAGTCAAGAACGATCGGCACGTGATATGATCTCTTTCCAATTCAGGACTCGACCTCGAACTTCAGCGCCATCGAAGCACGAGTGCCTTGGAATGTACGAGACTCGATACCTGCACGGTGAGCATCATCTTCTAATTTTATCTTCTTTTTATTGAGGGTCATCGACCCGAGAACTCTCGTACATGATGGAGCCTAGAATAAATACGGTCATTTACACTCGACATCGTGCGCTGAGTAGGCCGATAGCTGCGGAGAATCACTTGTGCTTGACTGTTAATTATCTGGGCACTTGCGCTGTGATAGGCTACAAGGGGGCTCTCGTAATGCAAAGTATATCTTATCTTGGCATCCCTCATCCATCCATGTGTCTTTGCAAAGTCGCAACCGATCTGACCGCAGGTCTTGGATGGATGGAGATTCTGCTAAGCAATTAACCAAGTAGGTGGAGAAAACACCATGATCCTGACGACAAGTCGCACAGAATTTGGCCTGTCTCATATGTCATTCCTATGAAATTTCTGTCAGTGGGGTGAGAAAGCACGAGGCTTGGACCGTATCACATTCTCTACGTCTGATGAATACGGACTTGTATTCCTGGAGTTCATTCATTTCCACCACGCTCAAGTGCGTTTTCTCTGTTGACATTCATCTGCGCCCATCTCCACCAAATTAGCCCTCTTGCTCCACACACACTTGGAAATTACATGAATGACTGTTCATCTTCTGTTATCGACTCAGATAGTACTCACATAATTAGTGCTGAAGCCGACTCGAAGATTCGATCGAAACTTGCTCTTTTAGGTTCTCAAGCGTTGAGGTGGCGATGCAGCTCTCGCACGAATTCGGGGTGATTCAATCGAAAGAGTACCTAAGCGGGACTCAGAGTTGAGTTGAGATCGTGCTTAATTAATTCCCCCGAAATTCATCGCTATGAATGGAAATGTGTCAGAGCCGCGTCAAAACGCCCCAACAACGCGATAATCAGGCACAAGGGAGGGCAGCTTTGCTCCTGCTTGCATATCATGTGATCGCTCACTGTGTGCAGGCAAACATTTCGACGTCACGCGCCGACATCATATCCCAAGTACCAGCAGACTTTGTTTCGACTGGCACTTCACTCCTAGTTTCCGCCAATGCACTAGAGCCACCGAGAGACTCCGTTTCAGGTAAAGCTCCGTCAAGACCGTCTCAGCAGAATCAGCTGACTGGTCATTGTCAAGCAACTGTCATCATGCGTGTCGAATCAATTTGCCCTGGCTTCCCAAAGCCGTTAGGGATGGTTCCTGGAATACCGAATCCTTTCGCGGCTCTCCCTCGAATGAATCGTCAACCCTGTAAGGAGGGGGGCACTGCAGGCTACAAACCCGCTATCTGGGTCAGCAACGGACATCTCTTCCGGTCCGACACACTTCTCACTGATTAAATAAGCGCTGTCTTGGTGGATGATTGTCGCGCGAATCGTCGATTCTTGCCTCACATGTATACATGGAGCATAGCCCGCGCTTGCCGGGACCAGGGACGTTTTCTTCTTTCTCTCTCTCTCTGACACCTCTCTCCGTCCTTGCTTCATCTGCGCAATATGGATCGATGGGTTCTGTTGGCTTTATCGCTGTTTTTCGCGACGCGGGGCATCTGTGCAGGACACCTGGACGTCCTTCCTCAAGAAACAATCGTGCCTCAATGCTCGACGCTGGAAGTTCTTTGGGATCAACCTGTGCGTAATGTGCGCTTCCTGCTGGATCTCGGGAGCTGATAGTACTACCCGCTACTCACGCAGTCGCCAATCGTGAGTCCATCGATCGCTCTTACAAATTTTCGTTCTCAATTGCGCGATTTGCAGCACCTTCACGTACAACCCAATCTTCTGATCAACGTCACAAATCTTTTCGACCTTGGTATCCAGAATGGGACGTTCACGACTTACCAAGTCGCACTGCCTGTTGGTACGAGAGATTTGTTCTTTTCATAACAATTGCTGATCAAGTGCAGGCCAAAACTTCTCTTTTGCCTACAATACACTGGCCAACCAGTTCCTCGTTTTCCAATGCAAGCACTCTTGTGATGGAATGAAATACATGCGCTGATTGCCAGTTCCAGCTTCCATGATGACTGTAGGAGCAGGAACAGCGGAGTGTCTATCGAACGGAAACCCTAGCTCCAGTGCCTCCTCCTCCTCCTCCTCCTCCAGCACCTCCTCCTCCAGCACTTTGACTTCAAGTGCCACAGCTCCTGTTTCGACATCATTAACTGCTGTACTATCACCGTCTGCTGTCCCAGACACGAATAGTCATAGCGGGAGCGGGATATCTAGCGGTGCTGTGGGTGGAATAGTGGTTGGAGCCGTTGCTGTGATTTTGGCTGCTTTGGGGGGATTCTGCCTCTCCAAACGACGGTACAAACAGAAACTAGCTTCACTGGAGGGATCACAGCACGACTCAGTTACTCCTCGCTTCCTGGATCAGGAATCGGGTCGAGGTCAGGCAGTTACCATGATCAGTCGTGCGTGCTACCATCCACAACGAACTAACTGCTGCTTAATGCTTTCGCCTAGCCTACCGAACAGAATCGGTTACCAGTCCGTACGATCCATCCATCATGCCCAGCACGGTTCGGAGCCCATTTGCCATGGGATCGCACACATTACCAGAGCCTTCGCTGGTCTCACCGCCTACGACAAGAAAAGGAAGCTCGACTACATCAGTAACTCAGCCCCCTGCTGCACCGCGAATACTGCATACGGATGGTGGGGTGCGCGTCGAGCCGGAAGAACTTCCTCCTGTGTACCGAAACTACGATGATTAATAATGTATATATATAATTACTTACTTGGTCCCATTATGGCACCGATTTACACTCGGAGACTGTCGTGAAAAGATCTGTAGAGATCTACGCTGTGCAGTGCACATCCTTCGAGTTCTAGTATCAACATCAAGGAACCTCCTTAACATCGATTGTTGGCTTCTAGCGATGGGCGTTTCAGCGTGTTTCATCGCTGTCCCATGTAACGTCGTGTCCATCCTTAGCGAAAGATTGTAGTTACGTACCAGTGCTGTCGACGACGAGCGGGGGCTAACTCGGAGTTGGTTGTTGAGCAACGCCTGGATGTCTTATGAGGCCCGCTGGATTGGGGACAAGGCTCGCTTGCTGGCACGCTCCCCCTTTGCAAAATCTCACTGGCCGAGTCCCACATGATGGTCGCACTACTCTCTTTTCTCGTTCTGGCTTTCCTTAGCATGATTGTATCAGCCGGAGACCTCGACGTTCTTCCCATGCAAACTCTTGTGCCCCAATGTTCAGTAATCACTGCTCGCTGGTCGCAGAAGGTGCGCAATCCCAAAATCTCAGATAGCGCGGAATGATGATGGCAAATAGCCGCCTCTCGTAAGGAGGTGTTCCTTGTGTAGCGAGAGCATCGAATTTGAGCCATTGCGTAGCATCTACATGTTCAACCAGAAGATTCGATCACGCTGACAAACCTGGTCGATATGGGTGTGCAAAATGGCACATCCACGACTTTCCAGGTTTCGCTCCCTATAGGTTAGCCTTTTGTGGGTTGATTGGGCAGAAGATTTGACGCCAACATGTCTAGGCCAGAATTTCTCTTTCGCGTACAACACTCTGGCAAATGAGTTTCTAGTGTTTCAATGTGCGTTGATCATCGGTTCTCGAGATGTGTTCCGAACCGATTGCCAATCTAGCCAATGTCATGCAAGTTGTGGCGGGGAATACAGACTGCTTAACCACGACGGTCTCGGCACTCAGTCCACCCGCATCAACAAGTCAAGCAGCCAGCTCGAGCGTAGTCCCCACGTCATTGTCGAGTCCAAGTCCGTCGCCCTCAAAGAGCGATGCTACTGCCGTGTCCACCACCAGCGCAACCCCGGCACGAGCGTCTAGACCAGGTCCTTCGATCGGAGCCGTGGTTGCCATCATCCTGGCAGTTTCGGCCATCTTCCTCGTCGGCCTGGCCTTGTTCTGGCGGTCTCATAGGACATGGATGAAGCAAATGGCGGAGGCGAATGCGGATCAGGAACGGCCGCCCAGTGAAAAACCACAAGGTCGTTTCTTGGGTGCCGTCCTCGGTCGTGCTGAGGGACCCTCTCCTCTTCGTTCGTTAACGCCCTTCCGCAGCCTAGGAATGATGCTGATACTAGCCTCTTCAGCCTACAGAGAAGAGACTCCGCCGCCGCCAATTACGCCACCGAAGTCATGGTTCGTCGGTACGAGAGCGGCCATATCCCCGGGCGCTTCGAGCAGCGATGGCCGTGGTCAGCAGGACTTCACTCCTGACAGCGGAGACGGTCCACACGACAAGCTAAAGATCACGATCCCCCCGCAGACGCGCCGGTTTGTCGTGAGCAATGCTGCCACACCCGTGGTACACACAGATGGGGGCGTCAGACTTCTGGTGTCGGAACGAGATTTGCCGCCGGTCTATTACAAGTACAGTTGAGTAAGTTGGAGATCTTGTGGGATGTCCGAGACATTGAACAGGAAGAATGTTAAGAAAGTTTCGGTCACCTGATTCCGATGGTATCAATCCTGGGCTTGGTCCTTTCACCATCATGGTCAGACTTTAGCTGACGGGTCGGCTCGGGCCCGCCCAATCCACTCTTGAATGCTAGCTCTATCGGAAAATCAGACGGACGAGCCACTGAGGGAGAGACGAATGTGCCGGATTTCTCACGCCGAGCTTCGATCTCTTATCGCACCTGCCAGCGCTGCCAGGTCGATAGATAAGTTGGAGCTTCTTCTCGGGAAGAGACAAATACTTGAGCTCCGCTTGCTTCCTGCTTGCTTCCTGCTTCTTGAATCTCTCGAACCACGAAAGTTTAATGTCAGCGTCTGGAACGGTACTGCCACAGGGCGCGGGATATGGTGTCGGTTCGTGTTCGCTAATATTCTGAGGATTTTCATAAGCTCATATCGACGGCGCACAGTCGTCGGTGCGTTCACAGGACCTTGCCTGCTCGATGCTTGACCGAGTGCATGGCGCAGGGATCGGCCTGTTCTTCAGCGCGTTCATGATTGGGTTGACGGCGCTCCAGTCGCGGTACACGTCTTTCTCCCCGCGCTCGTCGGAAGAATTCAGCAGCGCGTCCCGCTCTGTCAAACCGGGACTCATCGCGGCGGGGATCGTGAGCGCGTGGACCTGGGCAGCGACGTTGTTGCAGAGCAGCGCGGTTGCGTATAAGTACGGTGCGTAACCGACACGCTTGCTTCTCGTCTTCTTCTGATCTCAAGGTCGTTTTATACGCCAGGCATCAGCGGGCCGTGGTGGTATGCTTGTATGTTGTTGTCTCTCAATCCGTCGTGTATCCGTCGAATTTCAATCCACAGCGGGTGCGACAATCCAAGTGTTGCTGTTTGCGATGGTGCGGTATACATCGAGATCGGCTGGTTCGCCTTCTGCTTCTTCGACTGACCACTTCTCGATTTCAGATCGCCGCGAAGCTGAAGCTCAATGCACCGTACGCACACACTTGGCTCGAAGTGGTCGGCGCCCGATGGGGCAAAGCTGGTGTGTGAAATGGTCCCTCCTGTGGAGCCCTTGCCAATCTCCCGTTTTCCAGCACATCTGATCTTCATGTTCTTTGGGTACGGATTAATTCCGATGATCTCACGGCCTATTCAATTGCAATGCAGATTGGCTACAAATATCATTGTGAGCTCCATGCTGATTCTGGGTGGAAGCGCCACAGTCACAGATCTCACTGGGATGAGCACCATCGCCGTCCGTCCTCTCGCCGGGTTTTCCTTCACTTTTTGATCCACTGCCATGTCCAGGCCTGCTTTCTCATTCCACTGGGTGTCTCGATCTATGTTGTTGTTGGCGGGATGCGCTCGACGCTTTTGTGTGATTAGTATGTCGCCTCAATCTTGTGGTCCAAGCTCAGCTGAATTCTTGCAGCACCCACACGACTGTCCTTTTCGCCATCATCTTCGCACGTGTTTTCATTGGCGGCTGGTCATCGACGCTGATGTCATTCCTCTGTAGGTCTTCGTATTCACAGTCTATGGCACGAGCGAGAAGATCGGCAGCCCTTCCAAGATGTACGAGCTGCTGACCTCAGCAGCAGCGGCATCCCCTGTCCCAGGAAATGCCCATGGGTCGTATCTGACGATGCGCTCGAAGAACGGACTGATATTCGGTGTAATCAACATCATTGGAAACTTTGGTGAGGCTTGAGGTCATGAAAGAAGAGCTGGGTCTGATCGACATGGCTAGCCACCGTCTTCCAGGACCAGGCTTACTTCCAGCGAGCGATCGCCAGCCGGCCTTCGACTACAGTCAAAGCCTACCTTCTTGGCGGCCTAGCATGGTTTGCGATCCCCTTCACACTCGCGACGACTCTTGGGTTGGCTGCAGTGGCGCTCCGTGGGGACCCCAGCATGCGGGTGCTTTCTCCCTCCGACGTTTCTGCGGGGCTCCCTGCTGCTGCCGCCGCGAGCGCTCTGTTGGGGAAGGCAGGCGCTGCCTCCCTGCTTGTGTTGTTGTTTTTGGCTGTCACGAGCGCGACATCGGCGGAGTTGATCGCAGTGTCTTCGCTGCTAACTTATGATGTCTACAAGGTATGGTTAAGGCTCGACCATAGAATGATCCTGATTAGATCTGCAGAGATACATCAACCCGCAAGCCACTGAAGCACAGATTCTGCGCGTCAGCCATTGGATGGTGGGTTTCCCCTCGTTCCTTACTCGTTTGGGGGCCCACCTCCTACACAGGTCGCATTTTATGCTATCGTCATCGGTCTTGCGGGCCTCATCTTCTTCTACATCGGTGTCTCCATGGGGTGGCTATATGTATGTCCGAACTTCTCCGTCCGATGTGGAATCTAAGCGTAGCTATAGACCTTCATGGGCGTCATCCTTGGCTCCGGTGTTGCCCCTATCGCACTGTGCATTACTTGGAGCAAGGCCAACAAGAAGGGTTGTATCATTGGCTCTGTGCTCGGGTTCGTGGCAGGCATTGTCGCATGGCTTGTGACCACCAGCACTTTGAACGGCGGTATAATCAACGTCAACACTAGCGGAGGTCGGTCTGTCTGCTGACGACAAAACAATGAAACTGAGCACATCGGGCCAGGTGACTTTGAAATGCTTGCCGGCAACCTCGCATCGATTGGTGTCGGCTTCATCATTTCTGTCGGTACTTCCTATGTTGTATGTCGTCCGTTGCTGCACTCCTGAAAGTCCACTCACTCATGTCCAGTGGCCGGAAAACTACGACTTCGAGTCGACCCGCGCGATTAACAAGCCAGTCGAGCTGGTCAAGGAGAAAGAGGATGGCGAGCAGGAGAAAGTCAAGGAGGGAGAAAAGTCGCCTTCGATGGTCGAATCGACAGCCTCCCCTGCCCAAGTTGATGATGAACTTGACCCAGCTGCCTTGATCAAGGCCTACGACTTTGCCGCCTGGTCTTCGCTTGTATTGGTGAGCTTTCTCTCGGATGCCACTTAGTGATGATGCTCAACCTGGCAGCTTCTCATCCTCATTATCCTGATTCCGCTGCCGCTGTTCTTTGCGTCAACAATCTACGGAAAAGGAGGCTACACCGCATGGGTCGTTATTGGGATCATCTGGTCGTTCCTGTCCGCATTTGGTGTGGTGCTCTATCCACTTTGGGAGAGCAGGGCTGCTCTCGGGCAGATTTCCGGCGGGATCATCAAGGCAGGTCTATCCTCAGCCTTTCGTGATTGTTGGGGCTGATAGTGTCCTCAGGACATATTCTCCCCGGGAAGTGGCAAGTATGTCGCTGAAGCTAGACAGGCCGGCGAGGTGGCTTGATTATTGACGCAA